GCTAACTAAACAATTGCGCCTTATACTGCTCTCTCTTCATATGTTCATTGCTTCGTTCACAAAAATAAAATGCTTTAATTTCACGCTTAAGTAGCGATTTTTAAAACATTTAAAAACGTCATTAATGAAAATCGAGTTTTTAACGAAAAAAACTTTATAGAAAATATAAAATTTTGGCCTATTTAAAAAAGTATCCACATTTATACTAATCGGAAAAAATAAGTATCCCGCAAAAATTCGTCTAAAAATGTATCCAATTGGATCTATTTAGATCCAAACGGCATCCCTGATCCTAGGCACTAAATTAAACTGCAAACTTGAACTTTATATTCAACCACTGAACTCCTATCCAAGCTAGTCAAGAATGCAACATGGATAAACGCTCGGCATCTCAGGCAATTTCCATCTCTCGTGTCTGGGTTTCCGGCCATAGGAACATAGAAAGCACCGAGAGAGCAGACGAATTGGCAAAAGCGGGAGCTTGTTTGAATGAATCTGTAGCGGCGGTACAAATGCAAACAGAAATCCTCTTGACTTTCCGGAAATAGCAAGGAGATCCAGACTTACAAGACAGGAAGAGAGCCTTAGTTTCATTTTAGCAAGAAAAGACAGCAGAGCTGCTACATAGGTTAGGGGTAGAAGTATTTAGGATTATAATTGCTAGCATTGGTCATTGGCCGCCAGGAAAGCGTGTTTATAGAATAGGAATATTTCAGAAAGAAATCGTTATTTCATTTCCTGTGGGAATGCCCAGGTCCAAACTTTTTAGGACATACAACTTTCGGGAAACACAAGAAATAAATAAATTAAGAAGGGCTTTCATTAATCTAATCACCCATTTTGTAATTGAGATTTCCTGTGCTACTGAGAGCCCTAAATTTCACGTTAAAAGCACTTCTCCTCAGGTATCCACTTAATTACATTTTCGAAAATTCCAGCTTGTTAATACCACATATTATTATTTGAGATGCCAATTGTCTGTTAGCGAATTGGACTGCTGAAAGATTAAGGGCTTTAACTAAGCTCACCTAGTAAAATGTCTGAATTCGCTTTATACTTTCGTTAGAAATAGCCTTATTTCGATGGCCCTGAGGCGAGAAGGGATTCTCGTAGGCAGAGTTTACGAACGACGACTACTGAGCCATCTATGAAATCCCGTGCTATAGCAATAAGGAATAAATCAATGCAGTCCATGTTTGAATACCTTGCGCTTAGAAAAATCTATATACTTACAGAGAAAGAGATATAAAAGCCTTTTTGTTCGATATTTTCCTCCATAAATTAAAATTACTGCAGTTCCCATTGTGTACGTAAAGAAAACTTCTTCTTCACTCTTTGCAATTTCTTATAAA